CGTTTGGTACGTCCATACGAGTATGTTAAACATGTGCCAAATTTCAAGTCTCATGGCCGCCGCTGAAGGCCCTGTGGCCGCATTTTCAAGTTTTGCAAATTTTGAAGAAAAGAAAAGGAAATCGAACCTTTTGATGTCAATTCCGAAAACAGTTAAGCAAATGGGTTCTTTTAGTCAAATCAGGAGCCATAATTGGGGAAGAAAAATTTCGTTATTTCGCTTCTGTCGACCGATTCTTGATATTGTCGGATTTACGCTCTTAATAAGTTACTCAGTATTAGCCAATAGGAATTTCGTGTTCGTTACGCGCTGATTTACATTGAAACTGTATAAAAAGCTTAAGCTAAGTAAATTTAACAATAAAATACCAATACAACCCACAGTTAATCATAAAATTTTAATTATATTTATACATGAAATCTACAATAAACCCCTGACCAGTAATTCTTGAGAAATTCTTTTTATACAAAGAGATGTTCAGATTAAAATGTCAAGATTCTGATATAGACTCTATATAACTTAGCAGGTAGTAAGATTGTTAACATTGTTGAAAACCAAGTAATTTGGTTTACCACAATGCAAAAAGGTTTTCACAATATTTTGGCTCTATTTCAGAGCCATAGTCATGTAGTTAGATCAAAACAAGTGGACAGCTTATGTATCAAGGCTAATTAGGTGTATAAACAAGCAAATTATGTCGAAACATGATGTATCGAGCTAGAGAGGCGACGAATGAAGTTAAATCCCAGTGGCATAAGAAATAATGCAGAACGCAACAGTAAGAGAATACACGAGGAGATTTGACAACGTTGAAAACATTCATGAAGTCATCCTAGTGCGAGACGTTACCACAAAGTACTTGGAAAATGTTATTTTCCAAGTCAAAAATGATTCTACACCAGATTGAGATGAAATCCTAGCCTTATGAATGTAATTGTTCCTTCAAGTGTAATGACTATGAATTTGGGAGTAAATAGGAAAAATCTTGTCAAGATAGGAAGGGCAGTAACCAAGACACTGGAATAAACTCAGTGCATTCCTCTCTGATCCTTTTCACCAGAATAAGGTGAGCGTCTCGCTTTTGTAATCTAAGAAGTCTCTAGAGACTTGTTTTGTTAGCGTTAGACCAAATAACATCACAATGATACAGCGGTTGGTTAACTGTATTGTGCAATATTTTACAATTTGTACATATTTTTACACTTGCACGTAAGTAAATTTTACAGTTACACGTTAATGAAACCTCTGGGTTTGTTCATTATAATCGATCAGGCATTTAGAGTTTGTTATCCTGCACTTGTAGTGTGAACTGGTTTGTCATCAGGGCAAGCTGGCAAAGTAACGGCTGGGCACCATGGTGATCAGCTTAGTACAAGCCTTTTCCTTTGATGTCCTCCATTATGGCTAACATTTCAGATTCTGCAAATATAAACACTCCAACAAAAACATACCAGAGACCAAGAACAATCAACAGTTTTCTTGTGGCTGTGAGAAATGAATACTGAAGCATTTCTTGAACAAGAAAAATGCCTGAAAACAAAAAAATAGAGCAAAAAGAATCAAAAGAATGAGTCAGTGAAATGATAAATATATGTAGCATGCAGCAATAATAACAGAAAAATGGAAAGACCCCGAAATACAGTCAAACCTCCCTGAGTGACTTCCTCTCGTAAGTGACCGTAAGCTATATATACCACTTTCCCAAAATACCGAAGTTCTTAAGTGAAAACACCATAGTGGAAACTTCTCGTAAGTGGCTGCCTCTCATAAGAACCGGACTGCGGCCACTTTTTAGGCTTACAATTTGTTATTTAATTATTGCTTTAAACCTCTGGTAAGCGACTATTTGACCCATGATCTCATCTCGTCAAACATAAATTGTATAGTGTGACGCTACGCAACCCTGATGGGACTTATATCTGAGCACAATGTGCCTTCCTCAATAAATGCACAGTGTAAATGCAAGCGTGTTCAACTGTAGTTTTGTGATTGCTAAAGGATAATTCGCATTTTAGGCAATAAACCGTTTAAGCTAGGCCACTAAAGTAAGAAATCAAGACTTTCATCCCCCACTCTCCTCCACTCTTTCATCTCTTAAGCGACCACACCTCCCATATTGAGCGACCATTTACACTTGACATTTTGGGTGGTCGCGTACAAGTTTCAACTGTACCTCAATTCCACAAGGCCACAAATAACAGACAATCAATGCTCATTGTATAATTTGTGAGTGTAGAGAAGTTTGATGTCCTTGGGGGAAAGAACATGAAACAACTTTGTCCATAAGGTGCGATAATAAGGTTACGGTAAAGCCGTGAAAGAAAGTCTCAATTTTTTCAGGGCAGCAGATTATACTGAATTGTACAATTTTTATTGGTTAAAAATCAAACTTTCAACAGTTTCTGGTAGAGCCTCTGGACTCAATCGAAGTCATTCAATAATCTTATCGTAGTTTCATTCAAATTATACTTCTGCATTACAAGTGATTTGCTTACCTGGGAAGAAAAAAATAAACAATGCTGTCATTCCGCCAATAAGATCTATCGCATATTGTATGTCTGTTACATACAAAGAAGTAATGAGGGCCAGTGTAAACCAAACTAACGTTTGTACAATACGTCGTGTTGATTCGTTTTTCTCAGCAAAGGATGGAGGCATTCTGAAGGCTGCCAGATACAATCCCTCTAGACAGCTCCTGTAAGACACAGGCTTGAATCAAATTTAAATAATCAAGAAAATCTTCCAATAAAAAGATTTATATCAAACTTGTACTGCAGTCCGATAATGATTGACTTGTACATGTGTCAGAGATACATAAAGCATGTGGAAAAAGACACTTTGAGACATTTTTGTGAAAATGGGTGACACTGACTTTGTTTTAAGGATAGAACATGACTGTGGAAAAATATACCCTGACTTTTAAAAGTTTGCAGAAGAAACTCAACATGGTCTCCCCAGGTTTTAGCCAGATATATTCGATAGATGAGTAAACAGAGGCAACCTATCTTGTTATATGTTATAGAACTGGGTTTGTTGCATAAATACAGTCGAACCTCTATAACGGCCACCTCTGTAACAGCCAATTCTCTCTTCAAGCCACTTTCCTTTGTACCAACAGACAGTCCATACACCCACTCTTATTTTAATCTCTCTGTAACGGCCACCTCTCCACAACGGCAATGGTTACCAAAGCGCACCCCAACTAGCACAAAAAGCCCTCAACAATGGCCAGATAATCAATGACTGAAGCCAGTTGCAAACAAAACCCCATTTTTTTTTGTTGTAAAAGGTTACGAAACTTGGATCCGTACTGCGCGTAGCTGGTCTCTGTTTCTGTTTGGTTTCTGTTTTTTTTTTGATGTGTTTTGATTGTGTGACTTATTTATATGCTAAAATATTTTTTTGAGAATGTTGCACCACCTCCCACTTTCCTCTGTCCCCAACGGGTAGCTATTGTGGAGAGGTTCGACTGTAATTCCAAATGTTGCCATCCTTTTCATAAAACGTGAGAAAATGATCTATAGATGAATATTCAATATCACTAACTTGATGCAAAGTTGTGGCAGTCAGGCCACTAGCGCTGTTGGTGTTCAGTTCATTACTCAATAGCACACCATTAAAGGCATGACGAGACAAGCGAATTACGAGCGCAGTAACGGTTTTAATGCACAAAGAATTAGCACCGGCCATGAGCCACAATCGGGGACGGAGTCCCCGATTATGGCTCCTGTTAGCACAAAAGTTCCAACTTAAACTTTAATCTTTGAAATCATTAAAGAATTGTATCAAGCTTAATTGGAATTTCTAGAGGGGTAAACGGGAGGTATAAGAAAAAATCCCCTCAGTGGGGGAGGTATTGATATTCTCTGGAACTACACAATCAGGATTACCTTCCACAAAAAGTAACCATTGCTCCTGTTGACAAGACCATGACAGATAACACGACTCTTGCAATATTCACCAAAACGTCGTTAGAGTCATAACTCAAAAGCACGTCACTCTTAACAGTTGTGCCAAATGTTAAGTAGCCAAATGAACCAGTCAAGGTGTAAACTGTATTGCAAATGGTCATTGCGATGACAGTAACAATTCCAAATCTAGGTACACTTGGTCTCCTGAGTTCTGCATACACAGCTACTGAAGGTACATGACACTGGAAATATTTATATATAATACTGAATTAGCAACTTAATGCAACACTATAGAACACTCAATGAAATTTAATGGCAAAAAAACAAAAATAACACTTGAAGTTTATAAAACAGTACACTGTTCAGTAGAACCCTATCAATTAAGCTTTTATATGACCACCTTATTATTATCATTACGTCCTTCTGAAGAAAAGATCAGCTATTGAAACTCCTGTTCAATAAGCTTGTTTCGATTTATTAAAATTCTAACATGGCTCCGAGGCTTTGGGAATGAAATAAAAGAAATCACACAGGAATAAATCATTTCTTTTCTTCTAGTCACCAAAGCACGATGAGACTTACGTGAATTCCCTAGAGTGGTGGCTTAAATACTTATGAATACAATCATGAAAATAATGTATTCTAATGGCAAAAAGATGACCTAATTGATAAGTTTGAAGAGAGCATTATTTGCTTATAATGGAACAAAATAGTCGCAGCGCTAATTCTTGGAGGCACATTAGAGACAAAAGTTGCGATGTAACAAAACATTGAAGACCTAATGAACCTTACACGACACAAGTAAAACTTCTTGATAGACATAAAAAATACAAACCATGAAACTAAAGCAAATTGTCGGAAGTGCAGCAAATGCCTTTGTCCATGGCACTTTTACTCTAAAATACAACAGCAACAAATGAAATAAAGATTCATTCACTGATATTTACATGTATAAAGAGTGAAAGTTCTTTTTGACACGTGCAGGGATTTCATTAACATTTTCAGCAGGAAAACAAGTGGTTTTCACAGGCAGGCAAAACTTTCTGAACTGAACTTCTTTATAAGGTGAAAAACGTTCCTCTAGAAGGCCAAACAAAGCAGACAAAGTCAGCCTCAGAGCGATTCGATTTACCCAGTGCCCGGCCTTTGGCTGCACTAATATATATGTCAACTTGATAGGCAATTTGAACGCCGGGTTTTCTATTCAGCAGTTCTATGTCTAGTGTGATCAGCCAAGGCTAGTCTTGAAACAACAACTTGAGCAGAATCATCATCAGTCTACCCCGACTTGGATGATCACACTAGATATGACACAATCTAAACAGCCTCCGTACTTAACATGAGAGGATATATAGTCACTCAGTGAATCTGCAACCCTTAATGGTTGGAGAACCTTGGGGCGGGGGGGGGGGGGGNAGGACTGCCATATAAAAAGACTGGGGGTGCTTGTCGTTTTGGTGCCTCTTAGGGTGTTCAGCCTCTAGAGGTCCACAGCAGGGGCTTTTGCGGTACCATTTAGCCAAAAAAATATGACAGGAGATCATGTGTTGTTTTAGAATTGGAACCTCTGAGAGGTGAAAAGAAATTCAAGCCACGCCCACAAAACAGGATCTTGGTACCTCTTTAGGGTTTTTTTCAAAATTTCTGATGAGCACCCCTGCACCCCTGTCCCTTTTATATGGGAGTCCCCTCCCCCCTGGGGGGATAGGTAACTCGCACACTGAATTGAGAGTTAAAGGACAGTGACTTTGCAAGTTAATTCAGGTGTGATCGCAGCCAGCTTCTCTACAGCTCTATTCTTCTGGTTCTTCAGAAAAGATTGCAAAATCAGCTGCCTATGTATCCTCTAAATAAAGAAGGTGGCCTCATGGTTAGTGCACTCATCTCTGGATTGAGCAGGTTCCTGGTCGGAGACATTGCATTGTGTTCTTGGGCACTTTTTTTGAATTACTCTTACAACTGTGCCTCTCTCCATCCAGGTGTATAAATGGGTGCCAGCAAACTTAAAGGGTAAACCTGCAATGGAGTAGCATCTTTTCCAGGGGGGGATAGACAAATGCACTGCTAGTCGCTTCATGCTACAGAATTACCGGGATAAGCTCCAGCCTGGTGGACCACTTGGCTCGCATGCAGACTTTACCTATTTAAACCTTTGTGATACCCAGGTCTATTAATTACATTTAGACCTTGGCCTTATGCTCCACTCACGAAGGGGCGAAGAGGATGAGTGAGTGTGAGACCTTGATTAACTAATTATTTAATTAAGCACTCTCAGTGACAAACATGATTCCTAGTACAGAATATAAATGTCTACTTCTCGGTAAGGATGTGCAGGCAATTAAGGGGATATCAAATACAGTATCGAACAGTGACAATATTTTAATGACTTGATGCAGAGACTAAGCTAATTGTAAGTTCCTATGTCAGCCAGTTAGAAAGCAATACACAGCTGTGTGCATCTCATTTAACATCCACGCAAACTCATTGTGTAGTTGTACAGGTTACTTACTCAATAAATTCTTTACTAACTGTATAAGACCCTTCCGCGTATTTCACGGCAACAACTGCACAAATAAAAAAAGCTCCAACTGTTCCAAGGACACTGAAAACAAAAATAATCTATTCAGATAATAATGTAAGTTGTTAAGTGCAAAAAGCAAGAAAGTCAAGTAAACGGCATGTTACAGGCTACTTGTTATAGAAACCAGAATCTATGAAAATCAAATTTTCCTATTAATTAGTTTATGTAGTTGTATTCGTTGAAAAAGTTGTTGAGATTATTTTATTATTGAAATTTCAGCGAGGTTTCATATTCTTGTATATTTTTTTGTAAAAAAGAGCATATGGAATTAAGGCACAAGTTTTACAGAAAGGAGAAATAAATGAGTAATAGTTTGATTGACTGATTAAACTCAATCCATCATATTAATCACATATTATCTCAAGACTGACTATAACACTGAGACAGTTGTTTTAAGTCCCTTGCTGTTTCAAAACACTTTTTCCCCACAAGAGTTCAAAATTTAAAGCAGGTTTTATTTTTATTGTTTAACAAACATGAAGAAGAGAAAAAATTGAGAACATGACTCAAGCACAGGTAAACTGACTAAATTTAATCCAAAAAAAAGGCTTTCCAGCGACTTTGCCACATGAAACAGTTTTTTGTTTGTGCATTAACCGTTCTCGAAAACGAAGTGCAAATCAACAACAACATAAATATATCGGGACAATCTTTTTCATGTCAAAAGCAAATCAGTCAGCCAAAAACTAGCTCAATCCTGCACAAAATGAACATCGACCCACAAATTGATATATATTTTCAGGACTTTTTGCATGCAATCCTTCTGCAATCAATTAAAAGTAACGTTGTAAGGATATTAGTCAACATCAACTGACCTTGAATAGCTAAGAACTTTTAGGGTCTTTGGTAGACACAGTGGCAAGAAAAGCAGGATACACACGGCACACATCAGAAATTCCCGGCTTAAATACCAGTGAGGATGAGAGTTGATAGCTTCTCCAACTGGAAATAAAAAGAACGTCTTACAGAATTATTTGAAGGGGCAACAAATGGTATATGCGAGATTCGCTGAGATGTCAAGACTCTTGTTTGAAAATCTGGGACTGAGGCTTAGTGACTAGGAGACAAGATTTTGAGATCAGATTACTGCCAAACTAATAAGAAAATTGTGAACACCTAATTGAAATGTGTCTGGAATGTTTATTGTGTCATAACCAATCACAAGCCGGATCTTCAGACCACAGAAACCTCAGAAAATGGATAAACCCATCAGACACAGACTAATTTGGTTTTGGCTTCATGCCGAGATGCACCATTCACCTTGATCTATTGCTTAGAAAGTTTAAATATTAATTACTATTCCTTGATAAGGAGAGCCACACCCAGTGTATGGTTGAGGAATTTTCGAGAAAAAAATGATAAGGCGTACACGTAGCCTGCGAACAGGCTCCCGGTGCCCGCCCCGATCGCTTTGCTCTCCGAATTCTTCTGTTTCGTGCTCGCCGAAATTTTTTCTGTCCTCGCCGGGAGCCTGTTCGCAGGCTAGATAAGGCGATGCGACAGTTAGTGACTCATTAAAACAACATAACAGTTGATTTGACATGGCTAGTCACTGTGTAAATGGGGATAAGGAAAAATACAAAATTATGCCGGTTTCGCCTCTCAATTATTAAGTAACATAAGCCTTGCTATCATCTTTGGTCTCTCACTCTCCACTGAGGTCAGGAGAACTTCTAAAAGTCATCTGACAAAGCACAAGCATGGTTTGCAGTTCTGAAACTTTAGCAATTCGTCATTTTGGTCTGTTTGGGGCCTGCTCTTGTGTGACTTTGACTATTTTTTGATTCAAGGATTTTTTTAGTGCAATGAAGGAATGAAGATCTTTGTAATAGCCCAATTTGTATGGACAGAAACATCGATATCAGAAAACAAGTAGCCCTTGACTCGATAGGGTAATTCTAAAGGCAAGGAGACCTAAAATAAAATGTCAGGATTTGGCCTCATAATTTTGATAAAAATTAAGTTGATTATAGTTAATTCTACTTATAATGTACTGTGCACATAGCACATTCAGTTTTTCGTTAGCCTGCAGAACAGGCGTTATTCGCGTATTTTAGGCGAACAGAGGCGAAAGCGAGGCAAGCGCGAAGCGCGAGTTGCATCTTTCCCTCGCGTGCGCGACTTGCACTTCGCGCTCGCCTTGCTTTTGCCTCTGTTCGCCTAAAATATGCAAAAAAAATTACGCTTGTTCTGCAGGCTAATTTTTTTTCAAGCTCATCACTTTATCAGGCCCCTCCTGTCAGGCCCCTCCTGTCAGGCCCCGTCCACACTATGCCTAAGAGGAATTTGAAAATGCAACATAACAAGTCATTTTGGATTTGTGGTTGAGGAAATCTTGGGCAGGAAAATTACATTATTATCATGATGTTGGCATTTTCAAATTCCTTTGGTTTAAAGAGCATTTTCCAAAAGCTCCGTTTTCGTGATGGGTTAGAGTGGACGGTGGGCCTAACCATAGAAAAAACTTTGGCCACCTTATCAAATTCATCCGGTGTGCATGCTGGGGCTCAGTTTCAGTAATAATGATCAAAACAGCTCATTACGTTTTCCACCTAAATAGGCTAAAATGTGATTATTTACGGTATATTGATTTTCTAAAATATTTTTTGTAAAATTTATGCTGTGCCATGCAACATACAAACTCCTCAAAATCTATCTGACCACCCTTGTAATATGTATTTGCATGGAACATGTCCGTTTCAAATATGACCTTGTGATTAGTTTTTATCCATGAATTAGAGATCTTAGAGATTGCCTTTAGTTAGCATTTTAGATGAATGGACTCCTGTAGGCTTCTTCAAGGAACTTCATACATTTTTATAAATGGCCAGACTATATAAAGATGTAGAATCAAATCAATGGCTACAATCCGCAGCTGATGAGAAAGCAATGGAGGTTGAATGGCCATGTCGCCCACCAAGAAGCCTTACATTGGATGCCAGAGGGAAAGCACAGGAGGGGTCGTGCAAAGATTATACTGTGGCGTACAGTGGAGAAGGAAATGAAGCAGATGGGAAAAAGCTGGAGCAGTATTCAGGTCATGGCAAAGGGTCGGCGGATGTGGAAGGATTACGTTGTTACGCTACATGCCCCCCCCCCTCCCCCCAGGGTAATAGACCGCGTTCGATATATCAATATTCTAATATGGCTCCGAGGCTTTCGGGTCAAAATTGCTAATTTTCTTAAGTTTCTTTTGTCTCTTAATTCCCAAAAGAGACTTGGATACAAAGACAGCGACGCCAAATACAGAAGTTTGTCCTGAAAGCCTTGGAGCCATATTAGAATATCAATATATCGATCGTGGCCTATTGGTATGAGTGAGCAAGTGACTACTGGTATGCTATATAAGGTCACGTACCTTTTTCCAACTGATCACCAATCAAAATCATATATGCAACAGTGGCACCGAACATATTTAACAGGACTACAATCTGTGTTGCAGAGTAGGCTCTTGGTCCTAGCAACTCTCGGATAATTTCTTGAAAATATTGTGATCCATGTTTATTCGCACAGTATGCCAGGATTGGGAATGCCCCAGTTATGAACACTAATAAACACTGCAAAAGATGAAGAAGAAAACATCCTATTTCTCATCACTTACAAGTCAGTGGGGTGTACTTTTGTGAGCCATGATGGCCTTATTTTGCACATGAAATGTACAATATCAGGAGCCCATCCCTAGGAGCATGCAACTACCACAGCCATATTCCTGTCATGGCGTTTTCATAGACCGATCTATTTTAAGTTTGAATTTACCGCTTATTTAGACCCCCACAGGAATCTCAGTGACCAATCACAAGTAGACTCAATTTTTGACTCACCAGAAGATTAAGAAAAAAAAAACCAGCAATTTTTTCCCTTACAGATGCGCGCTGACCTGACCTGCCAGAACTGACCTGTTTCGTGGGAAAAGAAGCCTAAAATTAGACCGGTCTGTAAAAATGCCGTGACATTTGCTTAGTAGGGGAGTTGCACGCTCCTATGTCTATGACCATTTTTTTTCTCCTGAATCATGATTTTATTGGTTAAAGTCTTGCAAAATGATTAATTTTCTGTTAAATGAGAAATTTTTAATTCATTGTGGACCAATGTTTTGATGATCTCTTCTATTATTGCCGACTTCCATCGTTATATTATAAAGCAATATTTTGTGTCCGGGACAACCCAATCTTTGGATTACTCTTTAGAGGCCTGATATGTGTGAATGGTTTTTGCTCCCGACATAAAACAAGAAGTTGAGGGATATTCAAGATGTCAAACATGGCCATGCTTTTTTGAGTGAAATGTTTCAAAATCTAACAACTGCCTTTTTTCGTAAATGCTTATTTCATGGGTAGGGGTGCATTGCGAGGGTGACCTGACAAAACTGTGGGGGGTGTACTACCACGGAAAACAGTGTTGGTTACACCTAAGCATGAAGATATCACAAAATGTAGGACAGGTACCACTGCGCAATGCGTACTTGTGTGGACTTATGTATTCTTCTATTCCATTTGGTTGATGGTTTGTAGTCGTACGTGTATCCAGTTGAACCCCTATTTTTCTCTGGCTCTTTATTAGGGGTAAGGGTAATAGAAAACCTTCGTTTGCATGACCAAAAGGTGGCTGTGTGCTCAATAGAGGTGGCCTGTTAAAAGAGGTTTTATTTATGGTATTTTCCTGACAACAATTTTGGGACTTAATTTGATAAATGGCAGCTTAACAGGGGTTAGCCACTTAACAGGTGGTCACTTAATAGAAGTTCTACTGTATTTTGACCAGTGGGTAGTGGTGACTGGACAGAAGAGTGCCTCCATGTTTGTTTCAGGATTCAATCTGATTCTTCAAGTGGCAGTCGGTATACAGTTGCACAAAGGGTGAATTTTCAGGATAAAGGATATTAATTTAGAGTAGATATCCTGGGATATTGAGTAGGAAAATTGTCAGTTTCTACTTTGGCACTTGGGCTTCCGTAGGAAAGCCAGAGTCTAAAAATGCAAACTGTTTTCTCTTGGACAATTTTGTTTGCACCGCCACTGCGCACAACTTTGTTTTGGTTTTCGAAGAACGGGAGTTCGAGCGCTCGCTTTGTGCAGGCGCGCACCAGCGGCTACACTCATCGAAACTCAAATCTGGTGCATGC